CGAGAAGTGCTAGGTATGAAGCTATTGGAGTAGAAGAGACGGCTACATTTAAAAGTTTCTACAGTGTAAGGGTGGGAGCGGGATGCCAGCCTCGTAGGGCGCTTGAATTCATGGAGTCTGGGAACCAGTGAAAGCAGCTCATTGGAGCAATTACCATGAAAGTATTTGTAGAAAAGACAGAGAGAGGCGACGGCGCGTCTGTGAGAGAGTGACTGTAGACGAGATGCCATATCAGGGCCAATTATATTACACATCCGTCTCTGGATCTTGTCAAGAACTCCGAGGTAAACAGAAGGTGCCCCAGACCAAATATGGCAGCAATACTCCATGCAAGGGCGAATGGTTGATTTGTATATTTGAAGTATCTATTCCGGGGAGAAAATTTCCTGGCGCGGCACAGAGAGCCAACTCTTTCCCTCTGGCCGTAAAGATGTTTTGCTTATTCATCAGCAGAGTTTATTAGTATAAATGTCGATGCGAGATCGACGATGAGGGCAAGACCATCTAGCGGCTAAAGGTTAGGATCGGCCATGTTCCAGGCGAAGTACGTAGATATGAGCCTGTAGCATTCAGGTTGTTCACAGACTCATGAGCCCGCGATCGGCTAGCATTTATTGAATTCTGTTGCTTCCACGATGGACTATTCTCTGGAGTTCTTCGCTGTCTCACACAGTCCACGGACCAGACTCCTCCTTGACATCTTAGAGACTATTGCTATACAACGTCCTGCCCTGTAAAGGCAGATAGAATTAAAATATAAGTTTGCTTTGTTCGGGTTTGCCGGTCGCCAATTCAACGCCTTTCTAGAAAATAGGTGGAAGAGAGAGAGAGAGAGAGAGAGAAAAGAAAGAGTTTAAAAATAAGAGGGGAACACCGAGATTTCAAAATAAGTCTTTCTTAGAGGGAAGAGAAAGAAAAGAAAAAAATTTCTAAGGACTTTCATTATATATATATATATATATATATATATATATATATATATATATATATATATATATATATATATATATATATATATATATATTAGACATCTTATAATTATAAGAAACTATACTCGCTCGGAAAAAATATAAACTGGAAACAACAGACAACAGTTTTATAAATGAGGATCACATCACTCTATGGATTAACAGTATTTTAATGCATACATTATACACTACGAGCGATGGATGTCGCCAATAATAGTATTAATACTAACTGATTAAATTATATGCTGCCTAATGTTTTATGTTTATATATATATATATATATATAACATTCGTTATTAATGGGAGTGGCTAGGCTAGTTTTCTTTGTTAAGTGGTCAGAGAGTTAATTCTTATCTATAGATTCATCATCTTCTGAGAGGTTTTGCTAAGGTTGGGTAGGGCATCTATTTCAAATAATCTATTTGAAATAGATACCCTACCCACTCCCACAATAACGAATGTCATAACGGAATATGCCTAAAAATACACGTAAACCAAGAGATAGCTTATTCCTAAAATTTCGCTTGAAGATGAAACGGGACTAAACACCTCAATTCAACTTAATTTTAATAATTATTTGGATGGTTTCGGCTCTCGTTTTTGAAACACGAGAACTCTTATATATATATATATATATATATATATATATATATATATATATATAGATAGATAGATAGATAGATAGATAGATAGATATACATCTATATATACATACACACACACACACACATATATATATATATATATATATATATATATATATATATATATATAACTAAGACGAAATCGGTGGGAGAGCGTTATTGTATCGGTGCGCACGCACCTGCGTATATTCGCTGTTTACGTATCCGTGTGTTCCTGACGCCAAATCAAACTCAGACCCCCTGACCCCCCAATGTCCTTTGCCTCCCCGCCTCCGTAATAAATGGGCATTTTAGAAGGACACAGCAAGCAAAGTTCTCGTCAAAACCGTTACCATCCCTTTAAGCAGGTCACGGTTGGAGCGTCGACGATTTGACTGATTGATTGCCAATTTCCTACGGAGACGGTGATAGGATGCGAGCGTTGCTACACCAGCCGTGTCACGTGACTCTTCCCAGGGAGGCGAGAGGTCAATGGAGGACGATGGAGTCTGTGCGTGGGGTTGGGGCTGTACAGCCAACTGGAGAATGAGAAGAAGTAGTAGAAGAAGGAGGGGAAATATTCCCTGGTAGAAAGAACACCATGTCGATGTGAAAACGGTAAGAAAGCATTTTTAAATAATGCAAAAAAATCAGGTGCAAGATATACAGCTCGAGTCAACAAGACGAAATACAGGATTTCCTTCCCGGACCATTTAATAATATTCCTGACTGTTTAGCCGGGGATCCAGGTTCAAGTTCAGCTATGTTTTTCAAGGACGACTCGAAGGCTTAACATTTTATTTATCACACCATTTATTAGTTTGGTTTGGTTTGGTTTATTTTCTTTTGCGTCATACCAACCTCAATGTTTTATTTAATGCCGACAAAATTTTTATTGCTGGTAATGTTTTTCTTCAAAAATCTATTTCTGGGAATATTTTTCCTTGAAGAAATCTATAGCTGGTCATATTTTTTCCAAAGTATGTATAGCTGTTTGTATTACTGGTATTTTTTTAATTATTTAAAATTATTGCTGATAATAATTTTTCCTTCAAAAATTATAGCTGGTAATCTTTTTCATTACAAAGTATTTCTTGCATTAAAACTTATTTTTACACAAGTGTGGGTGTTAACTATTTGCCCATAACTGGGACCCTAACAGGTGCTACCACCCCGGGACAGGGTGGACCTGGGAACAGCAGCATTTAAGAGGTGGTTCCACGCTCCTCAAAATCTCTTGACCAGAAGTCTTGCTGTTGGACGTGGTTTATCGTCTTACCCAGGACGCGGATGTAGTTTATCGTCTTACCCAGGACGCGGATGTAGTTTATCGTCTTACCCAGGACGGCATTTATTAGTATTAGTTTGTTTTTTTTTCGAAAATAATGCTCTACTTTAGAATGAACTTTTAATCCTGAATTAATGTATTTAAACTGTGTTTCAATCGGTAAAAATAGAAAACCTGAACAGTTATAAATTTCTACGATCGAGTTAAATGTTTATATATAACTTTATGATAAAAACCTAAAGATTTGGACACCAAAACATTTTTGTAGTTTCTGCAACAACTTTACAACGAAATGTCCATGAGCTTAAAAAAAAAATTAAGATGCTTAAAAATGTGGTAATTAGTAGTCGAGTGACCAGTGGGGGTTAAGGTTGATGTGGCAAAGTCTCATATCCCAAGTCGTATCCCGAATTGTCATGTGACCGAGAATTGTGATGATGTAAAATTGTACCTCATCGATTAACCAGTGTCAGTCGCATTTCCTTAACTAAATGAGCATCCCATTCAGTTGCTGGCAGTAGACTTCGGCATTTAAGCTCTGGTTAGATTCTAGACAATTGTCTAGGATAACGCCAATGGCGAGCCAACAGACAGTCAGCATAATACTTTGTTGGTGCCATTTCCGTTTTAAAAAAATCTTTGGTTTGTTCGTCTTGATCAAGCCATTTTCCCCGACCGTTTGCAATTATCATAAAGGACATATTTGATGAATGAAGGTTAACAGATGGGCACCCCTATCGTGTAAAAAACTAAAAACTCCATTTTCATTTGAGTATTCATTGCTTCACTTCCCATCACGATTGTTCAGTTATATTGAGATTACGATTCTTTGTGGCCGATTCTTCCAAAAGTTGAACTCACTACTGATTTGTTTTGGAAAATATTTTTTAGGGTTAGGATTAACCAATTTAAGTTTCAATTTTTATTCCCGAATTAATGTATTAAATAGTGTTTCGGCATCTTTGCAACGGAATGTCTTTTAGCTTAAACAATTACAAAGATGCTTGAAAAGATGGTAGTCATTTGACGAGTGATAAGGGAAATATGGTTAATGTAGCAAAGCCTCGTACTCCAAGCTTTTGTAGTATCATACTGGTAACATGTGGCTGATCAATGTTATGAAACAGAATTGGACCTCGTCGATCAATCAGTGCCGATCGCATTGTGATTAATTGAATGCGCATTCCATTCAGTTGCTGGCAGTAAACTTCGGCAGTGATACTCTGGTTAGATTCCAGAAAGCAGTAATGGTGGACCTTCAAACAGTCGCCATAATCTTCTGTTGGTGACATTTCAGTTTTGAAAAATCTTGGGGTTTTTCCTCCTGATCAATCCATTGAACCGACCGTTTAAAATAAAGGATCGAGTTCTCATCACTCGTCAACATTCTATGAAGAAATGAATCATTTGAATTTCGCAGATGCTGCATCGAACTTTCTACAAAACGTCTAACTCTTTGACTTGCACTGACTTCCTGTAGAATCCATTTATCGAGTTTCTTAAGCTTGCCAAAATTCTTGAATTCCAGTGAAGATTCCAAGAATTAGAAATGACATGGCACAGAAGCATCCTCGGCATATCTTTCGAATGAGATGTTACAGAAACATCCACGGTGTCTCTTTTGAAATGAGACGTTACAGAACCATACTCATCTCTTTCGCAGACCGCATCAAGATGGCGTAATGCGAAAGAACCTCAGACAAGAACCCCGTCCATTGGAAGAATGTCTAACTAGCGTCAGAAGGAGAAACTAGAAGTGGTATGGCCACGTTATAAGACCCAAAAATCTTTCCAGTATTATACCACAAGGTACAATTTTAGGCAAAAGAAGAGGCTTTTAACTGACTGACATATTTGTTATTTACGGCTTATCAACCTTTTGAAAGTTATTTAAAGACATAAAGTATTTTTTAGATTGTTATAATTTTTTGGAGTGAATAATGAATCACTGATAAATATCTAACTAATTAACCCATAGATTGGGGCGTATTCAAGGTTAAAGAGGTGGAATCAAGGGTATCTTCACATGATTGAATATAACGAACCCGACTGGAATTGGAACTCAGCGCTTTGATTAACCATTCCAAAAAAATAACCATTATACCACCCTCACTTCCAAGGTTACAGCAACTGATATTTCCAAACGGTCACCCTTCTAGGTACTGACCAGGCTCGACGTTGTTTAACTTCGCTGATCGTATGGAAAGCGATGTTCCAACATGATATGGCCGTACGGAGAAGAAAAGTTAGACAGAGGGATAATGTGCTGGTCACCTTACTGGGTGGACTTGGAAGGTTCTCGGTAGAGGCTCAGATATAAAAGGGTTCGGGTTACCTACGACCACATACATGGGACTAATGATGCTAATGCTGCCGCTGATGATGATGATGATGATGATGATATTTCATAATCATTTCAAAGCAGAATTCTTTTGAAAGACATAAATCATAATGTGATCAATTGCAGGGTGGTGGATCAGGGAAGTGTAGTGGCCCTGTCAACGGTCCGCTGTGACCTATCCAAAGATTTGGGGAACTTTGATCGTGACACAACTCGAACAGTAAGGGCAAAATGTAGCGGTGCACCATCCTGTTGGAAATAAACTGTTCATCTGATTTGTAGGCTTATCAATGGCAAACTCTAGCAGCATTTGTAAGTAAGTATTTTGCCAACGGTCCGCTGTGACTTATCCAAAGATTTGGGAAACTTTGATCGAGGTTGATTAATATAATATAGTATTTTATCGCTCTTTCCTTTGTTTTTAATAAACGTTTCCTGTTTCTTAAAACTTTGCTTGACTTTGGGGAGGCAACATTCGTTATTTACGTCCGCCTTCGTATTTAGGTGCCACGTATTTGATCCACTGTTGAAAACCTTTCCAAATATTTAATCTTCAGGACCTGTTAGATTTTTGACAATTCGCAGTTTTTATTTTTGGATTTTTCTCTTGCTGCAATCAAACATTCTGCCTTCTTCCAGTTGATAGGCATTCCTCTCTGCGTTTCTTTACATCCTTATCTAGGATCTGCTGAGTCTGGCACAAACACAGTGTCATCAGATTATCTTGTGGAAATTGCGTCCTCCATTAATAAATCCGGGATTGAACCTCTAGCTCTCTACGAATAGCCGCGTTGTTAACAATAAAAATTATCTAGTTACAAACAAGTGCTGAAATTTGTTCTAACAAATAGCTAATTATGTAGCGTAATGGATAGAAGAACGTGATCATTCTGTAGTACATTTGCTTATCCTGTAGCACTCAAAGATAGTTTTCCTTTTGTAACACTTACAAGAAAGTATTCCTCCGCTAACATTTATATGAAAATATTCCTAATCTAACACTTATAAGAAAGCGTTTATCCTTAGCACTTATAAGGAAGTGTTTATCCTGTAGCACTTAAAGAACATGTTCCTCTTGTAGCACTTACAAGAAAGCGTTTATCCTTAGCACTTTTAAGAAAGTGTTTATACTGTAGCACTTAAAAGTGCTTCTGCATTTATAAGAAAGTGTTTACCCTGTAGCACTTATAAGAAAGCAAACCTCCCGTAGCACTTATAACAAAGTATTTATCCTTTAGCATGTATAAGTTAATGTTCCTCATGTAACATTTATAATAAAAGTGTTTATCCTGTAGCACTGATGAGGAAGTGTTCCTACTTTAGCGCTTACTAGAAAAGTGTTTATCCTTTAGCACATATAAGAAAGTGTTTAAATTATGAACACATCCTTTTAAATGCTACAGCATTTAAAAGGATGTGTTCATAATTTAACTGCTTATGAACACATCCTTTTAAATGCTACAGCATTTAAAAGGATGTGTTCATAATTTAACACTTATGTGAAGATCTTCCTCCTGTAGCATTTATAAGAAAAAGTGTATCATCTAGCACTTATAATAAAGTGTTCTTCCTGTAGCACGTAGAAGGAAGTGTTTATCCTGCAGCACCTATTAGAATATAGGGTAGCACTTATAACAATGTTTTTATCCTGCAGTATTAATATGAAAGGGTTCCTTCGGTAGATAATCTAACACTTATAAGAAAGCGTTTATTCTGTAGCACTTATGAGAATGCGTTTATCCTGTACTACTTATAAGAAAGTGTTTATCCTGTAGGACCTGTAAGAAAGTGTTTTTCTTGAAGCATTTATCAGAAAGTGTTTATTCTGCAGAACTTATAAGAAAGTCTTTAAGCCGTAACACATATGAGAATGTTTTCTTCCTATAAAATATATAGCAAAGTGTTTATCCTTAGCAATTAGTAGAAAGTGTTTATCCCGTAAAACTTATAACAAAGTGTTCATCCTGTAGCACTTATGAGAAAACTTTTATCCTATAGCACTTATAAGAAAGTGTTAATCCTGTAGCAGTTTTTGAAAGTGTTTATTTTGTAACACTTATAAGAAAGCATTCATCCTGTAACACTTACAAGAAAGTGTTCCTCCTGCAGCAGTTCTAAGAATGTGTTCTTTCTGTTACTCTTATAAATAGGTGTTCCTAAACTAGCACTTATAAGAATATGTTTATTCTGTAACACTTGTCAGAATGTGTTTATTCCTGGAGTATTTATAAGAAAGTGTTTATTTTGTAGCACGTACAAGAAAATGTTTATTCTGTAGCACTTATAAGAAAGTGCCAATACTGTAGTACTTATAAGAAAGTGTTCCTATAGTAGCGCCTAGAAGAAAGTGTTTATACTCTCTCAGCTATGAGATAGTTTTTATACTCTAACACTTATAAGATAATGTTTATATTATAGCACTTATAAAAATGTGTTTATACTGTAGCACTATTATAAAAGTGTTCCTCCTATAGCACTTGACAGAAAGTGTTTTTTCTGCAGCATTTTTAAGAATGTTTTCATACGGTATGCAGCACTTATTAAGAAGTTTTCCTACTGAAAAAACTTATGAGGAAGTGTTCTACAGTAACATTTATGAGGAAGTGTTCCTACTGTAACACTTATGAGGAAGTGTTCATGCTGTAGCATTTGTAAGAAAGTGTTTATCCTGCTACACTTATCAGAATGCGTTCATATTCTGGCACTTATAAAAATGTGTTCCTTCAGCAGCAATTAGAAGATGATTTTTTATCCCGTATCCCTTATAAGAAAGTGTTCATTCTGTGGCGCTAGTGTTAGACATCTTTTTGACGAAGCGTTTATCCTGTTGCACATATAGTGGACTATGTTTTGAAAAGTTGTTCATCTCATAGCACAAGTGTTGGAATTATTTCTGATAGCATTTATCCTGCTTTACAATATTTATTTAATCTGAGATAAAAACGAATAAATTAGTACGAGAAAGAATTAAAATAGGCATCGCAGAAAGTCTTCGAGAAAGAAAAAGAGAAGACTTTTTCATTATTTGGTGCGATTTTTTAGAAAATTGATCGATTCTTGAAATCCTTAGCACTTCTTCGCAGAGAAATAAGCGTTCTATTAAGTTGAGTCATGAGTAATTACTATTTGGGGAAACCACTTTTAATGACGAATTTATGGTCTTAACTACAAATCATCTCTGGCTGTTATGAATAAATTTGGAGTACACTGACATAATATTTTATAATGCAGTAGCAGCGGACACAGTGGTTTAAAAGAAAAAAGATAATTTCCTTCCTCATGACAACGCAAGGTTAACACAAGAATACAAATACACAACCCACCGCATTCACCTGAACTTGAATTTGACGAAAAAAAATTTCTGTAATGAAATCCAGATTCAAATGATTGTCGAGATTTGTGGAATTTTACTATCAAGGACAAGTGAGAAAAAGTCATTGTAAATAATAGTGAATATATAACTGGATAAAATTTAATTCCACTTTATTTTTGGAAGAATAAAGTCGATAAAGAAAAACAGAAAATTATTTAAGATTCTAACCTAATAATTCCTGTAAAAATATTTGGCAAAATTACGAAAAATAAATCTTTCATTTACACTAATTTTTTCCCGTTAATTTACGTCCGCAAATATACGTTAAATAAAACCAGGTGCAAAGAATATAAATATTTAACCTCATTTTTCTTTCTTTCTTTTTTTGTTTTTGTTTTTAATTTTCAATAAGTTTCTCCAATGGTTCTTCATACCAACGCTACACAATTTTTTTTTTCTCGCACAGGTGTCAATTTCCCGCCGACATTTGAGTTCATATCTACAAAATAATGACCTCCAAATGCAAATTAACGGCACAAATCATCGAAAGGTCGGGCGTGTGATTAACAAATTAGTAAGATTCAATCTGTACCTGGAAAAATAAGGAACGCAAGGATCTGTTTGTATCACCGTTATTCTGCATGAACTCGCGTAGGGTCTTGATACATCCTCTAAATCGGGGAGGCTATTAGTAATCCCAATAAAGAAAAGAAATTAAAATTAATTTTAGTAAATATATCTAAAAAATCAAAATATACAGTGTGAGTCAAAATTATGTTAGCATTAATATGAGAGGAATCTTTATTCAGATTTCACTGAAGAGTCTCCAGCTGTCCACTAGCACGATTGATGCAGAAAACCCTGAAATCAACAGGACAATTTAGGTCCTGGCCACACATTTCACGGGGAATGTTTGATATTAAAGTAAAGTAAAATATATAAACGAAAAAAGAGAGGGAAGAAAGAAAAATTAATATAAAAAGATAAGGAAAAGAAAGAAAGAAAGAAAGAAAGAAAGAAAGAAAGAAAGAAAGAAAGAATAGCATATAATTAAAAAAAAGAAATAAAAATAAAATATAGGAATGAAAAGAAAGACAATTCATAAAATAAAGGAAATATGAAGAAAAAGAAAAGAAAGAATAGAAATTAGAAAGGAAGAAAAGCATAAAATGAAGGAAATATAAAAATAGATTTGAAGAAAAAGAAAGAAATTAATTTATAAAGTAAAAGAGATATAAAGAACAAATTAAAAAAAGGAAGAAAGAAAAACAAGAAACAAAGAAACAAAGAAAAACAAGAAAAACGAAAGAAAAAAAGAAAAACAAGAAAAAAGAAAAAAAAAAAAAAAAAAAAAAAAGAAAGAAAGAAAACCAAGAAAAAGAAAGAAAAACAAGAAAAAAGAAACAAAGAAAAACAAGAAAAAAGAAAGAAAAACAAGAAAAAAGAAAGAAAGAAAAACAAGAACAAAGAAAGCAAGAAAGAAAAAGAAGAAAAAAGAAAGAAAGCAAGAAAGAAAAAGAAGAAAAAAGAAAGAAAGAAAGAAAGAAAGAAAAAAAAAAGAAAAAAGAAAGAAAGAAAA